CAATGTGACCTTGACCTTTGACCCCTTGACCCCAAAATCAATAGGGGTCATCTACTGATCATGACCAATCACCATATCAAGTTTGAAGTTCCTAGGCCTAGGGGTTCTTTAGTTATTGATCAGAAACCGTTTTTACCTAAGAGGTCAATGTGATCTTGACCTTTGACCCCTTGACCCCAAAATCAATAGGGGTCATCTGCTGGTCATGACCAATCACCATAGCAAGTTTGAAGTTCCTAGGCATAAGGGTTCTTTAGTTATTGATCGGAAACCGTTTTTACCTAAGAGGTCAATGTGACCTTGACCTTTGACCCCAAAATCAATAGGGGTCATCTACTGATCATGACCAATCACTATACCAAGTTTGAAGTTCCTAGGCCTAAGGGTTCTTTAGTTATTGATCGGAAACCGTTTTTGCTTACAAGGTCAATGTGACCTTGACCTTTGACCCCTTGACCAAAAAAATCAATAGGGGTCATCTACTGGTCATGACCAATCACCATACCAAGTTTGAAGTTCCTAGGCCTAAGGGTTCTTTAGTTATCACTCGGAAACCATTTGGTCTACGGACCGACGGACGGGACCGACAGACGGGACGGACCGACAAGTGCAAAGCAATATACCCCCTCTTCTTCGAAGTGGGGGCATAATTACTCTGTAATAAGTCCAGAAAGACAAAGAAAAGGAACAAAGGGCAATAACTCTATAAATACTGAAGATGTAATGATAGTTCTTGTGCACTGCACTTCCTCTTATTGTGCTTGACCATTGTATGAGGTTGTTTTGAATTCCAACCAGTATGTTTTAAGTTATGCTCCGGACAAAGAAAAGTATCAAAGGGTAGTAACTCTGTATTTTGTCAAAAAGGAGTTATGGCTCTTGTGCACTGCACTTCCTTTTAGACAACTGTATGCAGTTGTATTGAATTCCAAATAGTAGTTTTCAAGTTATGCTCTGGACAAAAATAGCAATGAAAAAGTAAGAAAGGGCAATAACTCTGTAATTAGTCAAGATGGAGTTATGGTTCTTGTGCACTTCCCCTTATTGTGCTTGTCCATTGTATGAAGTTGTTTTGAATTCCAACCAGTAGTTTTCAAGTCATGCTCTGGACAAGGAAAAGTAACAAAGGGCAGTAACTCTGTAATAAGTCAAGATGGAGTTATGGTTCTTGTGCACTGCACTTCCTCTCAATGTGCTTGACCATTGTATGAAGTTATAATGAATTCCAACAATTAGTCTTCAAGTTATGGTCCGGAAAAAAAGAAAGCAATGGAAAAGTAACAAAGGGCAATAACTTTGTAATTACTTTAGATAGAGTTATAGTTCTTATGCACTGCACTTCCCCTTATTGTGTTTGACAATTGTATGAAGATGTTTTGAATTCCATACAGAAGTTAGAAGTTTTCAAGTTTACCCCGGACAAGGAAAAGTAACAAAGGGCAATAACTCTGTAATTAGTCAAGAAAGAGTTATGGTTCTTGTGCACTGCACTTCCTCTCAATGTGCTTGACCATTGTATGTAGTTATAATGAATTCCAACCATTTGTCTTCAAGTTATGGTCCGGACAAAAGAAAGCAATGGAAAAGTAACAAAGGGCAATAACTCTGTAATTACTTTAGATAGAGTTATGGTTTTTGTGCACTGCACTTCCGCTTACTGTGTTTGACAATTGTATGAAGTTGTTTTGAATTCCAGCCAGTAGTTTTCAAGTTATGCCCAGGACAAGGAAAAGTAACAAAGGGAAATAACTCTGTAATTAGGCAAGATAGTGTTATGGTTCTTGTGCACTGCACTTCCTCTCAATGTGCTTGACCATTGTATGTAGTTATATTGAATTCCAACCATTAGTCTTCAAGTTACACTTTGGACAAGGAAAATGCAACGGACGTCTGGACCAACCGACCGACCAACCGACCACCGGGTGATTCCTATATACCCCCCAAACTTCGTTTTTGGGGGTATAAAAATATAAGTTTATGGGGAGATAATTCTTGCAATATTGGTGCTAGTGTTATGAACCTTGTCTAATAACATGTGGTGAATGACAAGGTTCATATATTTGAAGTATGAAGTTGATCCCTTAAGAAATAACTATGTAACAGTAAAAAAAAAATATTTTTTAAGGAAGATTAATCTGGAAATATTGGTGCTAGATTTATGAACCTTGTCACATAAGATGTCACATAAGATGTGGTTGATGATAAGGAACATATATTTGAAGTTTGAAGTTGATACCATAAGAAGTGAAAAAGTTATAGTGAAAAATATTTTACAGCACCAAAACTTTAATCTGAACGCGGACGCCGGGGCGAGTAGGACAGATCTCCATATACTTCGTATAGTCGAGCTAAAAACAGAATTCAGTACATGTTCTCAGGGCTCATGACCTTCCTTTTTAGAGGTCATATTTGGCATCATTATCAGTATCTACACATCTCATTTCACTCTAAATTTCATATTAAGCCAAATCCAACCTTTTTTCAAAGAATTTTGGACTGCTCTTTGTGGCCTCATGTTCACGCATTTTAGGTCTTGTGCATCCCAAACAACAAATGCTTGATCACAAATATTCATTTATTATTCTGTGACAAGTGGGAAATTTTAAAGATCCTGTATGTTGTAATTTAGGTTGTTACCATAAAATTTAATATATGTATATAATTATGCTTCTAAAACAATTTTCAAACATCGAAGAATATGTAAAATATGTACTGCAAATATTTGTCCACATTATAAGTAATCGTTAAAATATATGCATTCATTTCTTATTGAAAATTTTGACTAATAAATTTTTAATTACCTCCCTTTATTAACATGAAAATGTAAATTTGGTAATACTTTTACAAATAATGTTTTTTGGAACTTACAATATTTATAAATCTTCATTTGAGCATCATATTTATGATATAAAACCATAAAAAAAATTGAGTTACAGGATCTGTAATTTTTTGAGATAAAGGATTTTCATGCACATGTTCGAAAACAGCGAACCAATCCCCCTTTCCTATAAAAGACAATGCACTGTTCTCCTATAAATAAATTCGCCCCCATCTTCCTGTTCATTTCCATGCAAAATTTTCTTACAATAGAAATCATATATACAAGGATGGTTACAAGGTAGTTAATTTCAAACTTTCCCTACAACTGTAAACAGGATGAATGGATGGTCAAATGGGAGTTTATTGAACTGTTGACATTTCTGAATCATTATGCTGAACGTCATAGCACTTTAACTTATATTTAATAAAGCCTCTAGACAGAGACTACTTTGTACATTTATTTCAAAACAAGTTATACAATTATTGTATGTATGTGAAGCAAGAACTGCCTAAAATTCTCCATTAAAGATGGGGAAAAAAACAGACAGAACCCAGGTCCTAAATCTTAACAAGAGGGCCATGATGGCCCTAGATCGCTCACCTGACTTATCAAACTCATCCAAACAATTACCTAGACAAGCATTCTGACCAAGTCTCATGACAGGTGAGTCAAAAATGTGACCACTACAGTGTTAACAAGGATTATCCATATTTGAGCAGTGCGACCTAGTTTTTTACCCAGGTGACCACATATTCAAAACTTGACCTAGGAAAAATCATCAAAACAAACTTTTCAGACCAATTTCCCCAGGATACTTGGATCAAAACAGTAAGCAAAACTTTAGTGTTAACAAGATTTTTCTATTTTAGCTCCGGTGACCTAGTTTCACATGTGATTTCGAACTCATCCAAGCAATCCTGACCAAGTTTGATGATAATTGAGTCGAAAAATGTGACCACTAGAATGTTAGAAAATGAACAGAATATTTGGATCACAACAGTAAGCAGAGGGTTAACAAGATTTTTCTATTTTTAGCTCCTGTGACCTAGTTTTCCCATCCGAGATGACCCATGTTCGATTTATTCCAGCAATGACCTAAAAGACAAGTTTTCCTGACCAAAAGTTTTGATGACAATTGAGTCAAAAATTGTGACCACTAGAGTGTTAACAAGGTTTTTTCTATTTTTAGACTCCGGTGACCTACTTTTTTCATCCGAGATGACCCATGTTCAAACTCAGTCCGAGCTATCACCTAGACAAACAAACCTGACCAAGTTTGATGATAATTGAGGCAAAATTGTGACCTCTAGAGTGGTTAACATGGTTTTTCTATTTTTAGCTGCGGTGACCTAGGTTTTTTCATCCGAGATGACCCATGTTTCGAACTCATCCGAGCTTTCACCTAGACAAGCATCTTGACCAAGTTTGATGATGACTGATGCAAAAAATGTGACTGCTAGAGTGTTAACAAGGTTTTTTTCTTATTTTTAGCTCCGGTGACCTACTTTTTCATCCGAGATGACCCATGTTCGAACTCATCCGAGCTATCACCTAGACAAGGCATCTTTGACCAAGTTTGATGATGATTGATGGCAAAATGTGACCGCTAAGAGTGTTAACAAAGGTTTTTTTCTATTTTTAGCTCCGGTGACCTACTTTTTCATTCGAGATGACGGCCACGTTCGAACTCATCCGACTTTTCACCTAGACAAACATCTGACCAAGTTTGATGATGATTGAGGCAAAAATGTGACCTCTAGAGTGTTAACAAGGTTTTTCTATTTTTAGCTCTTGTGACCTAGTTTCTCATCTGAGATGACCCATGTTCAAACTCATCCGAGCTATCAACTAGATAAGCATCCTGACCAAGTTTGATGATGAATGAGGCAAAAATGCGACCGCTAGAGTGTTAACAACTAAATGTGAACGGACGACGGACGGACGACGGACGACAGACAATCATCGATCCTAAAAGCTCACCCTGAGCATGCTCAGGTGAGCTAAAAAGACCTTACAAACTCATAGTACTTTCTACAAAACTGGCATTGTGGTCGAAAGTGACTTACATAAAATCAATAAAATTCTAATCATAACACTAAACATTACTTGAAGAGATATAACACATGCTCAATATTTAATACATGTATAAAACCAGTGCCTTGAAAATCAGTTCATTTACCTTTAGTTTAAACTCTAGTTGAGGAAGTACAGCTAACAATACAGACGGACAGATAGCATTCAGTTCATAGATCAGGTCATATAGATGTTCAGACAGTTCACTCTCTGATGTCTTACCCAGCATCAAGGCATTGTTGAAAAACTGAAACATTCATATATTTACAGGGATATAAACTACTGTATAAATGGTTAAGTTTATAGTGACATGGAAAAAAATGGTGAATTTCGCGAATGGACCTAAAATCGTTTAAATTTCCACTAGCGTAAATATCAGCGTACCTATCATTTAATTCTACCCTTCCATGATTTGATAATATTTCTTCACCCAAAATGTCTGGAATTTTAAATTCAATAACTTTTCGACATGCGGAAATATTCACATACACAGTAACTCTGGAAAGTTCAGTTAGTCGGTCAGGCCCATAACTTTTGTATTCATGTAGCCCAGCCTACAATCTATTCGCCTAGTCCTAAATTATGTTTTTTGTAAATAAAAATAATGTTTGTTCATCGCCTTACTTTTTCTTCATTCAACTTTTTAATTCTTCATTTCATTCAATGTACTATGCATACATAATAATAAAACATGACATTTTTTTATAACAATGTAAACGAAGCAATAACCCTGTAAAACACTATCTGAAGCATATGCCTTTCACATGGACAATTCTTTTATTTTTAAATGCAAAGTTTCATGAAAACAATTATAATTAAATATAACATATGTCTCCAATACTATCTATATTTTACCCAGACACTTTTAAACCATCCAACCAAGCATTAAACTGTTTTATAACTGATTTTCACAAACTGTTAACACTTCAGTCAAGCACATATTAACATACTGTCAATGTTATCAATCATTCTAACGAAAATTAACACAGCTTAACAATACAAAAGTAATAACTTAATGGCGGTGTGACTGAGTGGTTAACGCGTCTGACAAGTAATCTAAGGATAGCCGACTGTGTGGGTTCAAAACCTGTCTATGCAAGCAGTTGTTTCCTTGAGCAAGAAACTTTACATTCATTGCTTAGTACTGGTTGGTTCCAGGAACAGATTCGAGTGTTTCAATAAGCTTACAGCTTTCAACACAATCAAACTCAAATAAATTTGTACAAACTAAAACTAATTACTTACATTTTGTACATATGGTTCTATAGCATTTGATGTTTTGATAAGAAGATCTTTGGCAAGGCCATATGTCTGCTTGTTTTGACTCTGAAAAAAAAAAGTTGTTAATTAAACTACAAATCAACATTTTGTTTTTTCTTCTCTACTACTGCTTGTTTTACACATTCCTATGGCTTAACAAGGAGACCATTTCATGTTAATCTCAAACACAAGCAGCCGATTCAGGGGCGGAAAAAAATCAATTGCCCAAGTTGTACATCAGCCTGTATAGACAAGTAAAATTTATTTATATCATACGGACAAATAAAAAACTGATTAAGATAAAACGGACATATAAATCAAAATTAAATTATACCAGCTCTAAGGTTATAATGACCTTTTTGACATATCATATGTCCCTAACTAAGAATGGAGTCACTACAAAATAAATATCCAATATCACTGTGTACAAGAAATCTATTCTGGTCATATCTTTAATCTTCAAGCCATTCATTTTGATTCCAGAACAACAAGACATTACCTGAAAGAGGCTTACAATAATTTAAGAAATATTCACAATAACAACTCAATGATTTCACACAATTTTGCGCCAGCTCCAAACTTCCATCTTCAACCTACAAGTACTGAACATGGAATTATTTGGCAACTGCTTAATGTAGCGGACTTCAAACCACTTGACTGTTGCTGTACTCTCTATGGCAGTGAGAATCCTGCCATGACAGCAGACTATGCAGATAGCTTACGAAATCAGTGGTTTTTTTCTTCTTTATATAACTACTACCCTAAAACGGTACTTTTCCCAATAGAAAATAGACATCAAAATTCCCAATTTCCAATCCAATGTTTAAATTCCCAAAATGGCTGTTCAAAATTCCCACAAGGCAAAGTGATTTCTCTGAAATCATTTAAATCCAGCATATTCATATAAATTGCCACTCAATAGTTCTATCTGGACAGTGGAAGCTGTCAGCTGTCTTTAACTGTTTATTCATGATGACTAATCTTATTTGTAGCTGAAAAAATACACACAAAAAAAATCCCAATTTAAGTCAAAATAACGCATTTTTTTTAAAATCCGTCAGGAAAAAAAACGCTGAATATGTCAAAGGTTTCTACTTAGGTACCCTATATACCTAAAATAATGCGTCGATTCTGAATGTCTTTCTCACAAATCAGTTTCAATTCCATTAATTTTGACCATAACAGTGTCCTTACATTTCTTTCTTTGTAATATTTACCTTCTGTGGCTCCACAACATTGATAAGAAGTATATCTAAAAGTTCCTGGGATACAACATCAGCTTCTGTTAACAGTGGTGACATCATGTCCAACATAAAATTCTTTACTTTTGTAGTATGTTTTTCACTGAAATGTTAAAGATAAATTACTATAGTATAGGTATTTAATATTGCTGTCAATTTTTTTCACACATTATGGAAAATAACGCAAGATTTCATATTTTATGATTTTCATATTTTTCTAGTGTTCACAAAAATTTAGCTCATTATGGGTTTTTGTTTTTTTTTCAAGCAGCAAAAAGAACATAACATGGCATAAAACTGGTATAACCCTACCTTCTTTTTTTTTGGTCGAAGTTTATGTAAAGTTTGAGATGTTTTAATAAAAATATCTAAATAAAGACAGAAAACACCGAAGGGTTCATTATCTCAATTTATAAAAACAAAGGAAACATTCTAGACACTAGTTCTTACAGACCAATAACAACAGGAAACTCTCTGGACACTAGAGTGGGTGGACCAACGCTCTGCGTAAAAATACTATATTTGATATGACAAAATCAAATCAACGTCAACAAAGCTCAATGTTATATGTCCATTTTCAAGACCGATCATATTTTTTTAAATAGCTATTGTGTGAAATTTGCTAATCACATTATGACATACATGGCGGAGGCTAATGATAGTCCAGATAAACAAGTGCGGTTTGCGTGAAATTGTACCATAGCTCAGCGTACAGTACTACATGATGCAGGTTTGTTTTTCGAATAAAATCTTTTTTTATCTTATGAAGAAAACATATTGAATTAATTTTAACAACCAAATTATGTTCATACATTTACAAGTACCCAACTTTTAGTATACATTTTACAGCCCCAGAACTCTAATGTTTAAAGATTTTAATAATTTATATGTTGCTGATTACATACGGTCGTTCGTCTGCTATAAGCATTGTCATGTGACTTCACCAGCAGTGAACCGCACCAGGATAAAATGGTGAAAGATGTAAATAAAAGCACCAGTGACCTAAATCGGAGATAACTTGAAACATTTTCAGATATTCTAAAGAAATATTTTTTTACGCCGAGCATTGGTCCAACCACTCTAGTTCTTACAGATCAATTACCAGTCTATCATGTCTAGGAAAACTATTTACAGCAATCTTAAACTTAATACTAACCGATTATATTAAAAATACGCATTTACTTAATGAAAATCAAGCAGGATTCCAAAGTATTCATCTTCTGATATTATTTTCATGCTCCCATGCACTTATTGGGATTGTAAGGAAAAGAAAACAAAGGTTTATTGTGCCTATGTAGACTTCTCACAATGTTTTGATAGAATTTGGCGATTCGAACTCTGGCAAAAACTTACGCAAAACCGATGAAAAATTATTTCAAACAATTTTTATCATGTATAAAAATATTAAATCTTGTGTAAAGCATAACGGTAACCGATCTCAATTCTTCTCTTCAGAAAAAACAGGAGTCCAACAAGGCGAGAATTTAAGTCAGATCCTCTTTTCTTTATACCTAAAAGATTTACAAACATATCTGGTAATGAGCTAGATGAACCTTGGCTCAAACTTTTTATTCTTATCTATGTTGACAACACTGTCTCAGATAGTCCTGTCGATTTTCAACATAGTTTAAACTATTTTAACTTGTATTGTATTCAATGGAAATTAACAGTTAATTCAAATCAGAGAAAGGTAATTGTATTCACAGCTAGAAATAGAAATTCGTATCATTTTAGTTTAGGCAAACATGAACTTGAAATAACTGACAAGTACCGTCACCTAGGTTTGACATTTTCTGCATCCAGTTCATTCCTTGAAGCTAGGCAATATATAAGCCAACAGATAAATAAAGCAATGCATCTTATATTTACAAAAACAAAAAAACGCAGACCTACCCCTTGATTTAATAATAAATTTATTTGATTACACAATTATGCTGATCCATACATATGGGTCAGAAATTTTTGGTTTTGAAAATCTAGATTTACTGAAAAAAATTCATAACATGTTTATGAGACAAATAACATTGGCTAGGAAAAGCACCCAAAATATATGCACAACAGTGAGCTTGGAAGGCATCTGATTTATATAAATGTATATACGAATATGATTTTTTTAAGGTCATGTTTAGTGCTTGGAAATGAAAAGAAACTATCCGTTAAAATTTACAATTACATGTTAAATCTGACAGATACTGAACTTAAATGGATAAGTAAAATTAAAGAGATTCTCGAGGATGTAGGAAGACCTGATATTTGGCAAAACCAGCAAGTTTTAGTTCATAAAAATAACAACAAAATTGTAAAACAATTTTAAATTGATCAATTAAAACAATGTTAGAATAATGAACTACACGCATCAAATAAAGGTAGAATCTACAGCTCATTTAAAAACACTTTAGAATACGAGAAATATCTCAACATACTCCAAAAACAAGAGCTGCCCCCGAAAAGGTTTCTTAAGCATGCAGGTATAATGAAAAGAAAAGAGAATGAAAGTAACTAATTGCTGAATATTGTTCTTGATAGCATGAACCTTCAAAATATAAGTGTGACCTTGACCTTTGAAGAAGGGACGTGGTTCCTGGATGCAATAAAATGTTGTTATGAGATAGACACTTGTGCCAAATTATTTCAAAATCCCTCAACACATGACAAAGTTACAGTCCGGACATGATTGTTGTGAAAGTGGGGACACATGGACAGACGGACATGAGCCTTAGCCGCGACACATTGTCTTGATGTGGTAGACATTTTTTGCCAACTTACTTCAAAATCCTTCCATGCATGACAAAGTTACAGTTCGGACATGAATGAGTACCTTCAAACTATAAGTGTGACCTTGACCTTGAAGGTAGGGACATGGGTCTTTGTCGCGACATCTTCTTGATGTGGTAGACATCCATGCCTAGTTATTTTAAAATCCTTCGAAGCAAGACAAAGTTACAGCCTGGGCACGAATGTGTGTACCTAAAATCTCTAATTGTTATAAAATGAACTTCAAAATGGTGGTGTTACCTTGACCTTTGAGGTAGGGATAAGATTTTTGGACGCCACACATTTTCTTGATGTTATAGACATTTATGTCCAGTTATATAAAATCCTTCCAAGCATGATAAACTTACAGCCCGGACATGATTGTTTATACCTATTAATTCTATTTGTGATAATGTGAAACTTCAAAATGTTAGTGTGACCTTGACCTTTGAGGTAGAGACATAATTCTTGGACGCGACACATAGTTTTGATGTGGTAGACATTTATGCCTAGTTATTTTAAAATCATTAAATGCATGACAAAGTTACAGTCCGGACACAAATGTGTGTACCTATTTTCTCTAATTGCGATAATGTGAAAATTCAAAATGATAGTGTGACCTTGACCTTTGAGGTAGAGACGGACAGACAGATGGTGCCATTATATTATGCCTCCCTTTGGGGGCATAAAAAGCTACATAACTTAAGATTTCATGTAACAACCGTTTACCAATTGAAACAGCGCGTTGGGGACAAGGAACCGCTTTTCTAGATAGCACATGTAGACTCTGTAACTGAATATTTCATCAAGGGGCATAACTGTGTCAAAAATCATCAGACCATGACCAAATTAACTTAACTTGCATTTTCCCATGATATAGGATAAGTTAAATTTGAGTTGAATGTGTGCAACCATTGCCACAAATAATGAACAGAAACTGATGATGATGAAATGACGGAACAGGGGAACACTATATGCACCAGTCATTTTATGGCAAGGGAATAAAAATTCCCTCAAGTACTTTTAGTGTTATATTCCAGGTTGGGATGGAAGAATGGACACACAGAAACACAAATGCACAGACAGAGTCCATTTGTAATATTCCCTTCGCTTTGAGGAGATGGATGTAAATCAGTGAAAAAAATGTATTCTTATTAGGGGATATTTGACTTACTTGATCACAGAAAACATCAGTTTGAAAAGACTGCAGAAGATTTCCTGATTGTCATCTAGCTCTATACAAATGTTGAAAGATTTCACCCATGCTAAATTCTGCAATAAATATCAACTGATCCTTTTACAAATAAGCTAAATATTAATCAAAGCTGTCAATAAAAATCAACATTTATATATTTTACTTACAGTACTTATTGTCAGCCATTTAATTATCATTTTCTATATGCTTAAAAATTCACCTTTATAAATGCAATGTCTATCAAAGTCAAATGTATAATTTATTTCTAAGAGTATACTTGAAATGAAACTTAAAATATTAAAATAAGAAAAGTTGACATACATTATGCGGTTTCAAGAAAATGGTCATATAACAATTTAAAGCTTTACTGGTGCATTATTTTAGGCAATAGCACCAGAGTAGAATCATCAGCCTTTTGTAATTCAGCTGAATGGCTCCCTCACATAACAGAATCTGGAGTCTCTCACTTAGATTTAAACTCAAAGTCATGAAGGAGATTAGGTTTGTCAACAAACTTGACTGAAGTTGAACCTATAAGGAAGTCTCCAAAAGTAACCTCACCACTACAGTAAGCATGTTAAATGTAACAAACCTCCAGAAGGTAGAAGTAACGCTTGAAAGTAGGTGAATTTGGGTCTTCTAAACCTCGCAACTGTTTGATGAGAAACATGAAAATATCCTGGAAGAGAATAATTATTCAAACATTTCAAAAATAGCATCATCATCAAATCAATCATTAGACAAAACATTTCCTTGATTGACAGAATTATCCCTTTCTAACTCAAGAGGATTCTTCATTGCTTAACTAAGGGTCTTAGGGATACATGATGTTGACACTTTGAAGTAATATTCTCTTTTACATTTCTCCTTTCTACTTTATACAAGTTTGCGAACTGTCATAAATAGTAAACGCCTTAAAGCAGTAATCTGTTAGTGTTAGTTTCACTTCTAATATTGTAAAATAGCACCATTACATTAATCAGTAAAAGAAAAAATACACAAAAAAACATTTCAATAAAAAATATTATAAGCAAAATGTTCTCATCAGGTTTTCAAAATTCATTGCCTTATTTCACAAACAGCGTAAGGCTCATATATTACAGTTGCTTTCTCACTATCTTTGTATCAAATACAATGGTTAAGTGGCTTGTATCCATCTATTTTTTGGTCAAATTAGAACAGCACTAAATGCACCTTGAAAAAGTAACTATTATTTTGATATGAATGAGCATGATCTCCCAATTCTGCTTTAAAAAAAATACAACAAAGTCCTTAATCAAAGAGTTAAAATTTGAACACAAAAAGTTATCCAGCATCTTAGATTAGAAGCAATTACCTTTAAATGTGCGGCATCTCTGAAGGGTGCCTCTGGAGCAAATATCCTGAAGACATCGGCAATACAACAAGCTACAAGAAGTCGCACATCCTTGTTATGGTGTTCCAGGAAGAAATCTGTGGCTAGATGTAGAGCAAGACCTGTATACTGATCATTGTCATCCTGGCCCATATCCTGGAAGGCTCTCGCTATCAACTATAAACAGAACTGACATCTTAAAATCCCTCAATTCACAATTTTTTGGGCATACACTATTCCCAATAGAGTATATATTTTTCTACCAATAAAAAAAAAATTCCTTTAAAAATAGGTCTTGTGCTACTTAATCAGGCAACCTTAAAGATCCTATATGTTATAATTGAGGTTGTATACCACACTTAAGTGAAATTTTATATATGTTACTTTGTATATAATTATGCTTATAAAACAATTTTCAAACATCGGAGAATATGTAAAATATGTACTGCAAATATTTGTGCACATTTGTCTGTATATAAATTTTTACGCAGCAACATAAAAAAATATCAAAAGATAACTTAAATCAATAAGATGATAAAATGAAGTCACCTTTAGTCTTCTAACAAGTTCATCTTTACCAAGCTCCTCTGTGACTTCCTTACAACCAGAAGGATAAATTATCTTCACAGATTTCGTTGTTCCTCGAGCTATCACACTCATGGTGATGCTTCACCTGAAAACACATAAGTCAACAACTCAACATCATTCAAACTAAGCTAACTTCCAAAATTCACCATGAGTAAACAAACATTTAACTGCTTACCATTCATAAAATAGCTCCCAAAGCAAGTTTAAACTTTAAATGCTATCTAAATTATGCCTTTTGCTGACTATCTGAAATATGCAATTTAAACTATATTTCATAAATTATTTTTCCTGCCATCAACATTTCATGCGCCAATGAAAACTCTCCAGTCCTTTTTCTCTCAAAAAGTAGGATGGCAGGCATGTTACAAGTAAAATGTGTTTTGAAATTTAGTGAAAGTGCTTGTACTAAGGACATTTAAAATGGGACCAATTTGATATTATTTATCTATTATTATAGAATTGAAAGTGTTTACCTTCTTGGAATACTTTTCTATAAATGGCAAGCAGCTAAATTTGTGGTTACTCTTGGTTAATATAAAAGCTCTATTGGAAATGTTGTGATTTTGCAGTAAGTTTCCATTTGTGATACTTTATTAATCATATTAATGATACATGATGGAAATTATAATATTTAAGTATAAGTATGGGGTGAGCAAGTCCCTCTTTTTAAAAAAATTGCAAAAAGAGAGATGCACTGGTTTTGATTTGAAGTGGAAATTTGAGTTTCCTTGGGTTGAAGGGATTGATGGAGGGAAATAATGCATTTTAACTGCTAAAATTAGTAGATAATGTTTTCATTGACAAAATTAGATTTTTTTTTTTTGCAGATTGCATATTATTTATCGGAATACCCTGCCGATGCCAGACTAAAATTTTTTAAAACATAATTATATTCTTGAAGGTTTGTAGTTGTTTAGTGTAAGAATTATAGTTCTTAATTGTAAATTTATTTATTATAATCACATAATTTTCATAGTTTGATTTTTCGATAGTATTTACTATTAAAAACATTGTTTGACTCTTTCAATTTAACATAGCTTCACTATTTCCGCCAAACGTAACGTCTTATTTTGTTTCCCGTAAAAAGACGTCATTAAATTGTTTTACGGTGACGTCATTAACCGTTACTTTGATATGTTGTTTTGCCTTGGGCGGAAGTGCTTAAATTGTTGATGTGTTTTGTTTATTGATGTTTTCCAATGGAAAGTAGATCATAATCGGTAAGCAAGTTATTAATTATGTATGAATTTTAATAGTAAATTCAATATTGTTTAAATGATGATGAACTTTACAATATTTGCCGTGAATTAAATTATAAACGGAATTATTCGCGGAAATATAAAATAACAATATTATTTTAATAGATTTAAGTCTATAATTGTAAAGGTGATATCGTATATTTATGATTTGTATTAGCATTATTATTTTAGACAATTTATTGTATTTTATTTAAATGCGTTGTAATCAGTATTTAGTTTGTTTATTTATTATTTTCAGAGAATCGCATTGTTGTATCACATTGATATATTATTCCATGAATGAGAATAAAGAAAAGTGTTGAAATCTGCGCATTCTTGACTATTTTTAACGGAAAACATCTACAATTCTCGATTTTACAATTCTCGATTTTACAATTCTCGATTCTGCTGTGACGAAAATGCCGTCAACAAATAGTGCGGAAACTTTGAATCAGGAGTTTGTCAGTGTGAAGAGATCAAGAAGTGCAAATGGCGCTCAACTGACGAAACTATATAATGAACTTGAAAAGAGCATGATGTCCTACAATAATATTGAAGAGGTTAAACTACTGAAGAATAAATTATGTGAACGCTTTGAACATTTCAAATCAGTGCATTTACAATGTTTAGATTTGTGCGCGCAACCGGAAGTTGTTGCAGACTTGGAAGCGAACTTTGAGAGCTGTTTAAAGAACTTTGAAGAATTCAGGGAAAGATTTTCTCAGTGGATCGCGGGAGCTATTGGACCGCAAGATGGAGAAAATATTCCTATAGAAAATGACGCAGAGTCAAATGTCAGCCATGGAAGTTCACGTACTTCAGTCTCGTCGCGCCGGAAATTACAAAGTGCTAAAGCAAAGCGTTTAATAGCAGAACACAAATTAAAACAACTTAAAAAGAAACAAGAACTTGAACGAGCTCGCCGGGATCTTGAAATGAAACAACAGTTGTTAGATCAGCAGTCGGAATTAGAAGAAGCAGAGATAGAAGAAATGGTGTGGTTAGAAACAACACAGGAAGAAACCGGGGTCATATCTAACAATCAAAATGCTCAGCCTGACGTACAAAATAATATGACTAATCATATTCAGGTGAACAACCGTACAGATTCTGTGAGAAATATAACTTTGACACAGCCCAGACCGGAAATAAACAGATCGTGTATACCGGAAGTTGACAGTGAGACATCAAACATTGACAGATCATTTCAAAGATTGGCGTCAGCACTTCATGAAGGATTCAACTTACCGAAGCCAGAACTATTGACATTTGATGGGAAGCCTGAAGGATACTGCAAATTTATCAAAAACTTTGAAACAAACATTGAAAGCAGAATAAGTGACAATAATTTAAAGCTAAGTTATCTCATTCAGTATTGTACAGGTAAGGCAAAATCTAGTATAGAAGATTGTGTTTTGTTAGAACCGGAAGAAGGTTATAAACGTGCTAGGTCAATATTATTGTCTAGATTTGGCAGACCACATTTAATTGCAAGGTCTTACATTGATAACTTGGTAAATGGTGCTCAGATTAAAGCGTCCGATGTTGAAGGGCTATCTAAATTATCTTTAGAGATGCAGAAATGTGAAATTACACTTTCTCAGTTAGGATTTTCCTCTGATATTGATAATACAGAAAATTTAAGATGCATTGTTAGGCGGCTCCCAACACATATAAGGGTAAAATGGGTAGAAGTAGCACATAATATAAATGAGTCAGGTAGAGTGCCGCGCTTTTCAGATTTGTCTAAATTTGTAGACGAAAAATCACGTATCGCTAACTCCATGTATAGCTATGATCTTTGTAAAAACAATGATTTTATCAAGAAAGAAACCAGAAACAGTTCTGGCAAATATTACAGTAATGATAGACCAAAGGTTACTACTCTAAATACACATACTGAAGAAAACGGTCATGAAAGTAGTAAATGCATTTGTTGTTCAGGTAATTGTGCAGAGTTATCACTGTGTAACAAGTTCAAGTCAATGAGTCTCAATGATCGTTATAAACTGGTAAGATCACTTAAATTGTGTTACAATTGTTTAAAAGGTAAACATTTTACAAACAAGTGTAGAAAACCAAAAATATGTAATGTTACTAATTGTAATGTCAAACACCACATTTTATTACATAGTTGGGTAAAACCCGATAATGGCCACACAGCAGTGCAGTCGTCGTGTAACTGTGCAGCAACAGAAGGTTCTACTGTAAAAAATTGTCTGGGTATTATTCCTGTAATAGTTAGGGGTGGGGACGGTAGTTCTTGTCAGACATATGCCCTGCTAGATGATGGGGCCGATAAAACTTTATGTGATGAAAGATTGTTACGGAGCCTGAATATAACCGGTAAGCCCGTCACATTCCGGATGTCTACGGCAAACTCGCGTGAAGGTATTATACATGGTCAGGAGGCCGACTTAGATATTCAACCTATCGATGGAAATGAAAGTATTACCCTAAGAAAAGTCTGGTCAGTAAAGTCATTACCGATATCAACTCGATCTGCAGCTAAATATGCAGATATCCGAAACTTACCGTACTTATCCGGTATAAATATTCCAGATATAGACACTAATGACGTTATGATGTTAATAGGGACGGATTCACCTATTGCACATATACCGCTAGAAGTGAAATTCGGAAATAGCGATGAACCGTACGCGATACGCACTCGTCTTGGATGGGCTATACGCGGTCCAGTCCCAACTACGCAAGAATCCAACGATATTAATATAAATTTCTTTGAGTCACGTGACATGTTGTTACAGCAACAAATTGAGCGTTTGTGGACAACAGACTTTAATGATAAATCACAAGTGAAGAGTTGCATGTCTGTAGAAGATAAAAATGCTATGAAATCCATGGAGTCAACTTTAACTCGCGAGGATGGTCATTACAAGCTTGGTCTTCCTTGGCGTGATAGAAATTCATCATTCGTAAATAATATACCGCTTGCCCAAGCCAGATTACAGCAGTTGAAGCGCAAGTTGTCAAGTGACAATAATTTGCATGATATGTACAGAACTACTGTAAATGGTTACATTGCAAATGGCTATTCATCGGATGTAGATTACATGGTACCAGAGAAAACGCGTGTTTGGTATACGCCGCATCATCCAGTAACAAATGTGTATAACGCTTCTGAAACAGACAAATTAGATGTTTGGCTGCATGGACCAACATTTCTTAGTAAAGGTAGGGAACACTGGCCTAAGTATTCAGGTAATATTATTCCGGAAGTGAGTGAAGATGATGTTGAGGTAAAGAGAGAAATTGCTATTAACGTTACCACCTGTGACACTATTGGGAAGATAATTGAATACTACTCTGATTGGTTCAAACTTAGACGTGCAGTGGCATGGTTTTTGAGATACAAGGATTATTGCAAAAAGCGATATCTGCATCATGATGTAGTGGTTGAAAAAGGTAATCTCACCTTGTCTGAACTTAAGACATCTTCTCACGCAGTTGTGAAATACGTTCAGACGGAATGCTTTGCCGATGAGTTAATAAACTTGCAAAAAGGAACTAATGTTAAAGGTGAAAGTCCGATAGCTTCATTAAATCCAATACTTAAAGATGGTTTAATACGTACAAAAGGACGCATTATTTACCATGATGAAACGAAATGTCCAATCATTCTACCGAAACGGCATCATTTAACTACTTTAATGATACGTTTTTACCACGAAAGTCAAGGTCACGTCGGAGTACAACAAGTTTTAGCAGCTACACGAACAAGATACTGGATAATAAATGGACATAGCGCTGTCAAACAGGTAGTAAGGAATTGTGTACCATGTAAACGCAAGAACAATCCGCTTTGTAAGCAACAAATGGGACCGTTACTTGATGAGCAAATCACACCAGATAAACCACCGTTTTCATTTATCGGCATAGACTTTTTTGGTCCTTTGATGGTAAAATCAGGAAAGTCACAAGTAAAGAGATATGGGTGTATTTTTTCTTGTTTAACATCAAGGGCCGTCCATTTAGAAGTTACTCATAGTTTGAGTACAGATTCGTTTATCGCCGCATTGCAACGATTTATTAGCCGGAGAGGTCTACCGGAAAAGGTATATAGTGACAACGGAACCAATCTAGTAAGTGGAGATTGTGAATTACGCAAGTCCTTACGAGAGTGGAATCAATCTAAAATTGGACAATACATGTTGCAGCGGGAAATCGAATGGAACTTTAACCCTCCGTCAGCTAGTCACATGGGCGGTATATGGGAACGGATGATACGATCGACACGTGCAATTTTGAGATCGTTAGTCAAAGAGCAGCTTCTGACAGATGAACAACTTCTTACTGTTGTAACAGAGGTTGAAAAAATACTTAATGATAGACCCATTACCCGAGTAAGCGATGACCCAAAAGACCCCCCAGTTTTAACTCCAAGCATGATTTTATTACTAAAGTCCAATACATGTATTCCACGTGGCATTTTTAGAAAAGAAGATACATATGCAAAGAGAAGGTGGAGACAGGCTCAGTATCTTGCTGATATATTCTGGAAACGTTGGATTCGGGAATATATACCTACCCTACAATCTCGACAAAAATGGCTGAGACCACAAAGAGATATCCGTGAGGGCGATATTGTACTCGTGGCTCAGGAAAACATACCAAGGGGGCAGTGGCCGTTGGGCAGGGTTGTAACTATAAATGTGGGTCGGGACGGGCATACACGAAGCTGTGTGGTCAAAACTAGTATGTCACAATTCTTAAGACCAATAACTAAACTTTGCCTACTAGAATGTTCTATTTAAGTAAAGGTATACATTACAATAAGCTATTGTTTGTATAAGATGAAATCGTAACGTTTCATGGTGGGGAGTGTAAGAATTATAGTTCTTAATTGTAAATTTATTTATTATAATCACATAATTTTCATAGTTTGATTTTTCGATAGTATTTACTATTAAAAACATTGTTTGACTCTTTCAATTTAACATAGCTTCACTATTTCCGCCAAACGTAACGTCTTATTTTGTTTCCCGTAAAAAGACGTCATTAAATTGTTTTACGGTGACGTCATTAACCGTTACTTTGATATGTTGTTTTGCCTTGGGCGGAAGTGCTTAAAATTGTTGCTGTAATTTGTTTATTGATGTTTTCCAATGGAAAGTAGATCATAATCGGTAAGCAAGTTATTAATTATGTATGAATTTTAATAGTAAATTCAATATTGTTTAAATGATGATGAACTTTACAATATTTGCCGTGAATTAAATTATAAACGGAATTATTCGCGGAAATATAAAATAACAATATTATTTTAATAGATTTAAGTCTATAATTGTAAAGGTGATATCGTATATTTATGATTTGTATTAGCATTATTATTTTAGACAATTTATTGTATTTTATTTAAATGTGTTGTAATCAGTATTTAGTTTGTTTATTTATTATTTTCAGAGAATCGCATTGTTGTATCACATTGATATATTATTCCATGAATGAGAATAAAGAAAAGTGTTGAAATCTGCGCATTCTTGACTATTTTTAACGGAAAACATCTACAATTCTCGATTTTACATTTAGGTTTGCACAAGTCCAAAATTTTCTTAAAACCCCACAAACAAAAGGGGGCACATCCACCTTCTGGCAACCCCCTGATGTATCTTTTGGTTGGGGGACCGCGCCGAAAAAGTGGTCACTTTTTTAAACAACATTTCTCAAACAAAACAAGTGTTGGGGGCCTAAATAAGGCATTTTTTTATCATTTGAGACAACAAAAAAGTAAGGGTGTAACGGTATACCGTACTCGCGGTATACCGTACCGTCTTCACTCGGTACGGTTCACAGTACGACAAATCATCCATACGGTACGGTATTTTAAACCATTTTCAAGGGGAGTAATTATTTCAGTAAAAATTGCAGAAGATGAATTTAAATCAGGGTCAGTGTCTTTTTAGTCGAAATATAGAAGCATTTTGGATTTAAGGTGAAAAAATAATCGGGAAAATGTCTTCTTTGACTGCTATTTCAATGTGCTGAATTTAATTTTTCTGACATTATTATTTTTGTAAGAACTGACCATCAGCTGAAACTGCCTTTTTGGAAACGATTTTTGGCAAGCTGAAATTTGTGAATAAATGATAATACGACACCTTGACACATTTGCAAGTAAACCCCACATTGTTGAATCCAAAATATTGTCAAAACACTGCAATAGACAGATAGTTGTGTAGAGTTATGGCTACGCTATTTTGTTGGATATTTTTTTCCATACTGTTCCATATTGTCAACGGATATATGTAACTGTAAGTAAATACGTAATAACCGTTATGAATGTGTTATAAGTGAGTAAAGTAAAATAATTTTTGTGTTCAGCTTATGCTCATTATTACACATAGTCCACAAATTGTTTCATCCAGTACATCTAACTGCTGAGCATTTTAAATTTTTCTATTAAACTTTAGTAATTTATCCAAAATTATCACCTTACATATGACAATACAAATGTGATGTTTCTATCACCTGTGCTTCTATATTGAATGATATTTTTATTGTAGGTATTTTACTTCTCAAAGCTTCAGAAAATATTAAAGCTTTTAGCATTTTACTTTAACTCAAAATGTCAATAGAAAACATAATGTGTTACATCACAACTTTAAATTAATTTAGCATAATACATCTGTGTGAAAATATAAAGTTTAAATGGATTACAGACAATTTTCTCTAGTCAACCTGTATCGTGATGCATATCTGTACCGTGATGCGTATCGTGAGCGTATCGTTACACCCTTACAAAAGGGGGGGGGGGGGGGAAAAAGGTGTGTATATAGCGTAATGTCTTAATAACGATGCTTCGCTATTTTCCGGGCTGTTTTTTAGTTTAAAGGTTTTGAGAATTAAACCTATTGAAACAGAAAAGGCAGTGTTTATTCTAGGATTTGAAAAACGGGGAATTTTTATTGAAAAGTGAGAATTTATTACATTTTGTTGAATCTTTTCCTTCTTTCTCTATGTAAAATTTTCCCCCTTCCTCTGAATTTGTTTGTTTGTTTCATTTTACGCCTTTTCCCAACAGTATTTCAGTCATATAGGCTGGTAGTTTCCTAACCATCGTTCCTGGAGAGTTACACCAGTACTAGACTACCTTCCTCCGCGCTAAACTACCAAAGCATCTCCCGGGGATCAAACCCACGCCAGAGAGGTTATTGGATTAGAAGTAATCGCCTCTAAGTCTAACCCCTCGACCATGGAGGCGGCCCTACCTCTGAAAAAAAAAAGGGGGGGGGGGGAATTCTCAAAAAAGGGAGTGAATCCCCCCATCCCCCTCCTAGAATATACACTGAAAAGGATGATTATTATCATAATGATCGATTACAACACTTTTTTTCTCGCCTTCTGGAGATGACAATGATCGATATTTGTACAGTCTTCGAAATTAACGCCAGTCCGAGGCCACTAAATTTAGCATCGGTCCAGAGATTATTGCAAGGTTGGTGGTCCGACGGGCCAGTAGATTTTTGGCCATGAAAAAATATTATAAGAAAAATTCATCAAAATAATGAAGCAGGGCTCTCTAAAAGATTGATATTTTTGCCTTTTTTGCAAATAAAACTCATCAATTCTGTCCTAAATGTTCAAAACACAGCTAGAGATGTCTAAATTGTATTGAGTAATGGAGGCCACCATTTTTTCTTGGAAATTTTCCGTACCGCACCGTACAGTTACGGAAATTAAACCATTGTTTATTATGGTCATTATTTAGCTATGAGTATGATTTTGTGATTATTGAGTTAAGTAAATATTTTGTGTGAAAGTGATTTGTTTGAAGCAAATTGTGTTGTTCATGTTCAATTCTAATCAATTTTGCCTAAACATTATTTTGGTCCTTATAGATTTTTTCAAAGCTGTCAACATATGGCCCAGAATACAAGAAGTATTATGCTTCTTTCAAAATTATCAAGGGAAGCATGATAAAGTGTTTTCCTTTACCCATCAATTTATTACCTATCTATGTATTTGGTCTGGTTAAAAATCACCAGGTCCAGTAAGATTTGAAATTTTACTGGCCCGAATGTCCTGTGCTTTTTAAAGGATTTCATGAAGACTGTTTGTACTTTCTTTACTGTAGCCAACATGTTGATTTATCTCAAAAAGTAAACAAACGAACAGAATAGCTGTTTCTTGATTATAATCCTCCTTAAAGACATAAAATAACATATGCATTTTAGACTTCCATATAATTTTGAAGTGCCGTACATTTAGACAATTCAGTGTGTCCTGGCAAGACATACCTGACTCACGTACGGCTAGAACTTTTGGCTAGCCATACACAGTATCCATTGACATTTTTTGATATATTGAACAGTAACAAGATGAGAGGTAAGTAATCAGTTATAAAACTTTCCCAATATACACAATTTGCAAGTTATTTGGGGTAGTCCTGTGACTAAAAATGTGTATATTTCTGTCCCAGATATTTTTGGGGTGTCTTGAGGTTTCTTGGCCCAAAAAATTATGAAACTCCAGTCACTGAAACACGGCGACATATCACAAAAGTAGGAGGAAATGATCCAAATTACTCCAAATATTTTTGCAAAAACAAGACTGCGGGTAGCATCAGATCTCAATTTATGACATTGGACGTAATTTATTGCCAGTAAACTTCAGAATCGTGATAAAAAATTCGATTTTCAGAAAGTCATCTCACTTTCTAAATAATCGCTAAAGATAACCCTAACTACTTTTAATTTTACCTTATCACGCAGAATTAGATAATATCAACTACTATACTGCTTGCTAGTTTTGTTTACAACCGCAACTGATGAAAAAAATCGCCTTATTTTTCTGTTTTTCGGGGACAGGAAACGGCGCGAACCGACATTGTTCCTCAGACGAATGTTTTTTGTAAGGAAAAGTTTGATTGGTCAATCATTTTGCATAATTTTTTAACGACTACCCCGTAAGTTACTGTCATCTGGATACCCCGTAAGTTACTGTCATCTGGATAAACATCGTCAACTACAGCCCATTTCATCAACATGTTTTCTGTATATATTTATGGAATAATAGTTTCCCCTTTCATAGTGAAACATTTTTAATATCCTTTACCGTATCCAACATGTTCATGTGGCTTCAAAGAAAAAAGGTTACGAGTTACTCAATTAGTTATGCTCGTAAAGTTATGACTTTAATATTAGCCTATCATGGTCCTAAACTATAATTTAGCATGACTTTCGATAAGGTCAGCTATAAGAAAGTATTCCTGTTTCTCGCATTATAGGAGCATGCTCAAAGCCCTTTATGTCTTCCCAGTCAAGTCTGATGGAATTTGTCCTTGGGGTTCCGAAAACGTATCTCACCTATTCTCACAAGATAGGCCCAAGTTTGAAATTTGAGTGTCTCTTGACAAAAGTTAAAACATATACAATTATACAGTTGAGTTTTGTTAATTTTTCAACATTACATGGTTCCTTCTTTTAAATCATATTCACAATAGATGTCAGAAACTTGTATTTAGAAAAAGAAATGAACAAATGATATCAATTTAAAAGAAAAATACGCTGTCTCTGTAAAGGGTTACATGATTTAACACACAAGTGCTGCATCAATTTGTTAAAAACTGAACATATCTTTTTAATTTTTGTTTCACGACATGTTGAAGTTTGAAAATTAAAAGAATTTCTGACTGAAGCTCTTTGCATTATTCGTTATAAAACAAAACTTTCTTGTCTCCAAATCGAATGTAATCTACGTTACTTAGTTTGCGCACAAAAAATACACAGGCAATAAACACATTAAAATGTGTTTAAACAGATGAAAATACTAACAAAACATAGTATAAACAATACGCGATACAATGATTAACTCATTTCATAAAAAAAAACATTACACCAGAAACACAAACTTTATATTTGTAAAGTAAATTTAAGAATGTAATCTACGTTACTGCTATTACACAAATATTGTGACATAGGGTGCTCTTTATAGACTATTATCAATTAGATTAGACTTGTTAAACATTCAATATTTCTTTATATTTAAAAGTTGATTGTTTGTAAAAAAAATCATGCTCATGACAATAAAAATGTAATTTACGTGATGTAATCAACGTTACCACGGTTTTTCAATTTCTGCAAATAATTTGATTTTAATGTACTAGATAATGTTCAGCTGTTTCAAGGTTCCGTTATATATACTTCTAGATCAATATACACATAGTTTATTTCCCTTTATTTCAAATTTGCCACATATTCCGCCATTTGCATTTGCAATTTCCGCGTAGAAACACTATATTACTGAGTTCCAGTTATCTTCAGGAAAGTGAAACAAGGTAAGTGATAAAATGTTTTTTATTATATTTTTAAGATTATAACTGAATTATACATTTTTAATTTCAATGAAATTAATCTTGTACACTTATAATTCAAACATTTATTGCGTATATTAGTTACGTCATGGCCCAAGTTTTTAACAAATCCTGTTTTTGGTCTCCTATTATTACTTACCATTTTTACTTACCAAAAGATTTTGTTCATAAAGTTTTTTATCATAACAGATCTACACAGATACATGTATGTAATCTGTGTTATACCAGATCATCTAAGATTTTATAAAGGTGTAACAAATGTGATACCAATGTTGGTAACGTAGATTACAAAAATATCAACTTGTGATATCTGCAACACCAATAAGTAGTTATTCTCCAAATATTTGACATGTTCCTATATTGTAGATCATTATATGGTAGTTTAATGTAATAACTCTGTTTGTTCCTGGGAAAAAACTGTAATTTAGGCATAAATAAATGGTTTCTAAAAATGGTAACGTTGATTACAAAATAAGTAACGTAGATTACTTTTTCTTTGTTTCAGCAGGCATGGGTATATCATAGGCTGAAATACAGCGAGCCTTTTGTGGGAGGAAAAACCAACATAAGGAGTAAAATAACTTGAAAAAAGAACGAAAAAGAACAAAACCATACTGAGCAACAACAGTGAAAAGATAAAAAGGGGGGGGGCCTTTAGCGACCAGAACATAGAATGTCAGAAAAAAATGTCCACAAATTGACACAGAATGAAAGAGCTTGAGACTCAAACACAAGTTAATAAATTAATTGGTCTGGTTGTGTTCAAGATGAAGACAGACTGATTGTCGATGATGAAAATGGTGTACGTTCAAGCACCCGGAAACACAAAATAGTAGTTTGGCACATTGGTACCTTGGACTGATTGAAGAGATTGTCATAGCTGATGACGATTTTCTTGTTTCATACTAGCAAAATCGAAAATGTAAAGGGGTCAAAGCACCAACTTTCAATTGGCCAAACAATGCTGACAAGATTTGTTAAGTTAGAAGACGGTTTTTCTGGCATAGATGAGTCGTCCAAAGTTAGTTGTTTATGTGCGCTCTTTCAGGTTAAAAGAGGACGAGATAAGATAAATTTAAAGCGCGACATTCAGCTTTCATTTTTGTTCGAAAATGTTTTTTTTTTTCAAATTAAGTATTTAAGTAATTTTAGCTAAGAAAAGTGCAACATATAAATGTAAGACCTACTTTAAAACAGTGTCTAAAGATCTATTTAATTTTTTTAGAACGCCGGTGATGTTTGTTTCTAAAAATAGAAAATCGGAAAACGAATCACACGCTTGATTAATATACAAATAGATAGCAGACATGTAGATTAGAGGAATCCAGGAGTTTAATTATTGATTCTGTTTTATGATGGCAAATATAATTTTCCACCATATTTTTTTATTTGACTTTTATATAAAACCTTCAGAAAAACAGAAGGCCGCTTTAAATAAATGATTCAATGGATTTGTCTCAAACAAAGCCGTTATTTTTTTGTGTTTTTTTTTTAACTTTAAATAAACATCATGCTTAAAAATTAAAAAGATTTTCTTATGCGTTTGATCAGATTTATGAATTAATTTATTTTCTTTTGCAATAGCTCTGACATCAACATTTTATTGTTTGACATGTTCAAACATATATAAAAATCCTAGAATATAAGGTAATCTACGTTACCATAACTGGTCAATTCTTTTACTTTGTTAATTTGTTATTTTTGGTCTGAAAGTAACAGTTTTAAATCAAGTCGTAGACTTTGTTATATTTTATATTTTTTTTTTATATATATGATAAAAAAGATAATGTCTTAATGGCATTCACGAGGTATTTTACGGCCTTAAGCTATTAGTTTCTTAAAGAAATGGATAAATGAATATGTTTGAGCATAAACCTTTCATAAATTTATCTCAGTCGATGAACTTATTACTGATAATTACATCTAAGATTATTCAAAAGCAAAAAAATGAAACATCGCTGTCATTTTATCTTTAATCAAGTTTTTTTTTTGCTGTTGCCCAGTTAAAGGTGATTCTTTGTAATTTACGTTACCATTTCCTAGTTGTGTTTGCATTGGTGTCTGCTGCATACAAACTATATTTCAAAGTCAAATACTGTTGTATGTTAATATTTGGTGCTTATAATTCATAATAAAATCAACTAAATAAGTACAACAATGAGTTTGTTTATGTAGCTATTATTACTGATGATCATATTTTCCAGAAATATTCAACCCAACATAAATGAAAAAGTTAAAGCTTGGTGTACAGTTTTATTAAATCCTGTGGATAAAATATGTAATGTTACTTTGACAAATTATTTATCGAAGTGAATATCTGTATCAAGTGCATTTATAGAATATATCAAAATATCTTTAATATGACCATTGGTTTATTTTTAGTTAAGGTAACGTAAATTACATTTTGCAAAAGTACTCAATTTGTTTCAGTGGCTGTTCTACAGATAATAATGGAGTTTGAGTGCTGTAACTTTCCCAATTTGTCAGACACATATCTCTTTAACAATGTTAACATCTATGTAATAAAACTTTGATAAAAAACAAGTTCATTTTTTAACATTTTGTCAATTTAAGTTGGGCCTATCTTGTGAGAATAGGTGATCTATATATTGTGCCCATCTTAGTTCACGGTAACTTAACGTTTTGAAACCAGAAAGAAAACAACAAATGAAACTTATGGTACAAAAACTGTCATAAGCTATAA